TACATATATTGAACCACCCCTGCATGCCTGGGATGAATCCCACTTGGTCATGGTATATAATCTTCTTGATGATTTGCTGCATTCTATTTGCCAATATTTTATTGAGGATTTTTGCATCTGTGTTCATTAGGGAGATTGGTCTGTAGTTCTCTTTTTTAGGTGGGTCTTTCTCTGGTTTGGTACTAAAGTAATATTTGCTTCCAGGAATGACTTAGGAAGAATTGCTTCTCTTTCAATTTCATTGAAGAGTTTGAGGAGTGTCGGCATTATGTCTTCTTTGTACTTCTTGTCGAATTCTGCAGTGAATCTGTTTGGGCCTGGGCTCTTCTTTGTAGATAAGGACTTAATTATGTTTTCAATTTCATTAATAGAAATTGGGTTAGTCAGCAGTCTTACATCTTCTCAACCTAGCTTTGGGACTTCATATGTTTTTAGGAATCTGTCTATTTCTTCTGTGTTATCAAACCTATGAGAGTAGAGGTCTTCTAAATAGGTTTTGATGATCTTCTGTATTTCCACAGAGTCTGCAGTGATTTCACCTTTTTCATTCCTTATGCATGAATTTGAGCTTTTTCTTCCCTTTTTGTAATAATGTTTGCTAGGGGCTTTATCAATTTTATTTATTCTTTCACAGAACCAACTCTTTGATTCATGATTCTTTGGATTCTTTTCTTAGTCTCTATTGCATTAATTTCTGCTCTGATTTTTATAATTTCCTCTCTTCTTTTGGCTTTGGGCTTGACTTTCTCTTCTTTTTCTAGATGTTTGAGGTGTAACATCAGGTTGTTTATTTGTATTTGTTCTGTTTTCCTGATATGGGAAGTCAGTGCAATAAATTTTCCTCTGAGGACAGCTTTCATTGCATCCCACAGATTCTGGTAAGTTGTATTTGTATTTTTGTTTGTTTGTAGGTATTGTTTAATTTCTTTTTTAATTTCCCCTGTGATCCACTGATTACTCAAGAGTGTGTTATTCAGTTTCCATGTGTTTGTGGGATTTTTGCAGTATTTTTTATCATTAATTTCTAATTTCATGGCACTATGATCTGATAGCATGCAAGGGATAATTTCAACTCTTTTGCATTTATTTAAATATGCTATGTGAGCTAATATATGGTCTATTTTAGAGAATGACCCATGAACTGCTGAGAGAATGTGTATTCTGATGTTGTTGGATGGAACACTCTGTATATATCTATCAAGTCCATTTGTTCACAGGTGTGATTCAGTTCTGTTATTTCTTTGCTGATTTTCTGTTTGGTTGATCTGTCCCTTGGTGTCAATGGTGTGTTAAGGTCTCCTGTTATAATTGTGTTACTGCTAATTTGATTTTTCATTTCTGTTAATACTTGTTTTTCATTTCTGTTAATACTTGTTTTATATACTTGTGTGCTGTGGAATTTGGTGCATATATATTTAAGATAGTTATCTCTTCCTCTTGAAGTTTTCCCCTAACCAGTAGGTAATGACCTCCATTATCTCTTCTGATCATTATTGGTTTGAAGTTCACATTGTCTGCAAACAGAATAGCTACTTCTGCTTTTTTGTGTGTTTTTATGTTGCATGATATATTTTTTTCCATCCTTTGACTTTCAGTCTGTGCGTATCCTTTTGGGTTAGATGAACTTTTTGTAGACAGCATATGGTTGGATTTTGTTTCTTGATCCATTCTGCCAGTCTGTTTCTTTTAATTGGTGCATTGAGTCCATTTACATTAATGGTTATAACTGTTATATGTTGGCTTATTGTTGACATGTTATCTTTCTGCTATTGCATCTTTATCTTTCTGTTCTGTGTATTTGTCTGCTTTGCTTAGTGGTTTTTTCCTAAGTGTATCTAAAACTGTCCTTCAGTATGCTTTTGCAGGGTTGGCTTGGTGATCATGAAGTTCTTCAGCTGTTCTTTGTCATGGAAGTATCTTATTTCTCCATCAATTCTGAAGGACAGTTTTGCAGGGTACGTTAGTCTAGGTTGAAAATCATTTTTCTCTAGGATCTGAAATACTTCCCTCCATGCTCTTCTTGACTTCATTGTTTGTGTTGAAAAGTCTGCTGTGATTCTGATAGGCCTTTCTTTATAGGTGATCTGTCTTTTCTCTCTGACAGCTTTTAGTATTCTTATGTTGGATTTCTGGGATGGTGATTATTATATGCCTGGATATAGTTTTATTTTGGTTATGGCTATTTGGAGTTCTATATGTTTCACTAATCCTAATGTCAGTTTCCATTCTCACGATTGGGAAATTTTCAGCTATGACTTCTGTGAATAGCCTTTTGATACCATTTGTGCTGTTGCCTTCCTTTTCATTTATCCCTAGTAATCTTACTTTGTTTTTCTTTGCATCATCTTGCAGCTGTTGAATTGTTATTTACTGATTCCTTGTTTTTTTTAAAAAAGATCTTTCCTTTCCTGTTTACTAGCTGCAATCTTGTTTTTGAGGTCTGAAATTCTATCTTCACTTTTGTTGAGTTGGTTTTGACAACTTTCAATGGAATTTCTGATTTCCTGTACATCTCTTTGAATCTGCTTCATTCATTCTGTTTGTTTCTTACATTGTTCATCCAGGGATTCTATCTTTTTGTTTTGTTCCTCTAATTTTTAACTGTGTCTTCTTTAGGTGTATTCAGCATCTCTTTCATTACTTTTATCATTTCTTCTTTTACCTGGGAGATTATTTCTAGTTTGAATTCCTTTAAAACTTCCTTCAGTTGCTTTATTTCAGTTGCTATTATTACAAGTATTTCAAGTGTATGGCATATATTTTCTTGTATCTACATGGCTCCTTGGGTTTCTTGGGGTAGGCTGGAGGTTTGAGATTGCATTTTGATCTTTCGTTTTGTCACTTTCCTATATTTCTGTGTTTCAAGTGTTTTTCTCAGGCTTCCCCTGGATGTGTTGGAAATCACCTCCTATGCCCTAGGCTCCTGGGACTGAATTTAGGTCACTGAGCATGGTCCAGTCAGGCCCTCACACCCTCCTGTGCTACCTTCAGTGTTCCAGGTAGCTGGCAAGGCACCTACCCACTGTGGATGATGGGCTAAAGCTCTCCCGGGCAAAGACCAATGCCCTGAAACTCACTTCACCTTCTCTCCACTCCCGTAATTGAAGAAGGCCATGGGGGTAATCTACTCAGGCTGCAAAACCTCCCAAGGCCAGTTTATAGTGGCTGGCTCTGGGCGGATCCTTGACTCTGGGAGCAGTGATCTTAACAACCTCCTGGGCTCGGGATGGCACGTGGGCTCACCCCAGATGCCAGCTGAGTTTCCAGGTTCCCGGTTCCAGAGAAGGTCAATGGGTGTGTCCTGGGCAGGCCTGAAACCTGCCAGGCAAGTGCAGCCTAGTGCAGCTGGGCTCTGGGCAGGCTCTTGAGCTCTGGGAACTATGATTTTTTTTTTTATCGGTACCGGGGGGAGCTATGATCTTAACACAGTCTCCCAGGCTCTGGATGGGGAGCAGACTCACCTCAGCTGCCAGCTGAGTTTCTGGGTTCCAGGTTCCAGAGAAGGTTGCTGGGCATGTCCTAGGCAGGCCTGAAACCTGCCAGGGGAGCACAGCCTAGTGTGGCTATGCTCTGGGTGTGTCCTTGAGCTCTGGGAGCAATGATCTTAACACAGTCTCCCGGGCTCTGGATAAGGAGCTGATTCACCCCAGGCGGCAGCTCTAAAATATCACAAATTCTTAAGCAAAATACTAATAATTGCCCTGCTTTTATCTAAATATCAGAAAATATATTTTTAAATTGTCATCATGAAAATAACAAAGAGAATCATTACAGAAGAAAAATTTAAAGTACTTGGAATATTGAAATATATGTAGTGAAAATAGATGTCAATCTACAACAAAAAGTAGAGTGAATATTACTTTGATCAAAATTTGGCAAAGACACATGCAGTCTATACAAAATATATAATGTTTACATTCATTGAGATTATAAGGTACCCATATATGACATATCTTTATTGTACTTATTTCCCCTTTTCCTTCCTGTTCTCCTCCCCCTTATTCTCTTGGACCCTTTCCTATGTGCCAGGGATCCATCCCTTTGTCTTCTTTTAGTCATTATTTATGATACCCCCTTTGTTTCACTGTGCCTTACTCAAATGGGAGATACCATATGGTATTTAAGCCTGTGTGTCTGATTTATTTCACTCGACATTATATTTTTCAGGTGCATCCATCTTCCTACAGATACCTCATTTGTCCTTCCTTATTGCCAAGTAGTATTCCATTATGTATAGATACCATATTTTCTTTATCCTGTTGTCTGTAGACAGGCATATAGGCTGCTTCCAGAATTTAGCTATCATGAATTGAACTACTATAAATATTGTATCACTGTTTCATAGTATCACTCATATCAGTGAAGTATGATGTCCTCAGTTCTTTGAGTAAGATTCTTAGAAGGGGAATAATTGAGTGAGACAAAATTTCCAGTTTTACTTCTTTGAGAAATCTCTGTACTGATTTCCATAGTGGTTGTACTAGCTTACATTACCACCAACAATGTAGAAAGTACCTTTTTCACTGTAACCTTAACAGTGGAAAAGATTTTGAATGAGTTTAGCTCAAAGAAATGATAAATGTTTGAGGTGATGGTTATAATTATCCTGATCTGACTATGGTATATATGTTGAAAGATCACACTGTAGTACATAAATATGTATAATTATTAAGTGTCAGCTAACATTTTAAACTTTATTTTAAAGAATAATCATTAGAGTTGCAGATTTTCACAATACAAATATTTGAGTTAATGGAACATAGTGCTCTAAAAGAATTGTACAAGTGGAAAATTTTTCAAAATTTTAGATCAAGTTGAGACACCAAGCACGCCATACTGCTACAAATACATGTAGAAACATAATAGATTGCAAAAGAATATGCTTTTAAGAAATGAATATTTAAGCATTCTGTATTTTTCATATTGTATGTTATGTAAATTGAATAATGAAAATTAAGGTAGGGTTTTTTTTAAAGTACCATATTTTATGTTTGTTATAGATTAAGAACTGGGGGTCAACTTAACGCCAGCTGGATTACATCACCATGGCATTGAGCGATGCTCCACCTGAAGAAAGTTGCCAGGATAAATGGGTGGAGAAGAAGGGCTGTGTTGAGGGTTGAGGTTTTAATGCATTGTTGCTTGGAGGCATTGTGGGTTTTCCTACGAGTTGCTGTGTGAGCCATTGGTTCTCCTGGAGAAGTTCTGGTTGTCACACCGAGCATTGCTTCCTGGCTCCGGAGGGGAAGATGTGTGCCACTTGGTCTCCAGGATGAACTCCTCATGCTGCTTCCTGGCATGTACCCTACTGTGCTTGTCATTGGAGGAGCTCAGGGCCTCCGTGTCACTGAGGATGGCTATGGTGCCTTTCAGGACAGCCCTGGTCTTTGTTGTGAGTGTGACTTCTCGGTTCCAGCATAGAACCTCCATCCCACTATTACAGCTCCTTCATCCTGCTGGCATAGACTTTCTGGCTTCTACCGCTGACACTTGAGTCTTCCCGGCACGGATCCATAAAAGAGACTGGCGTGAGTCCTTCTTGTGGGCTCTTGTGGGACCTCCAGTTGGACTCGTGGGAGGCATTGTCCTGAGCTCTGGATTTTTATCTGGATTCATGTGGGACATTGCGGTGGGGTTTAGGCTCTTGACTAAATAATCTATGTCTTTGGTGTTGCAGATAGATTTCCTGCATTTTCCTGTGTTAACTTCGGGTGACCATTATAAAAATATTATAAACTCCATGTCCTAATCCTAGTTGTTCTCTGTGTACAACCCCTGACTACAACAATGTTATCTGGGACCTATTCAACTAGTTTTCAGCTCCAAAGAAACATCCTGTAAAAACATGTTGAAATCTCTTTTTACTCTGCTGTAAGACAGTTTAAGGTTGATTCTATCAAGCTTCCAAAACTCAACAGGGGGTAGAGTTCTGTATTGTGAGGAATGACTGATGATAGTAATAAAGGTATCTATTGTAAGAAAGTTAGTCAAAGTTTTAATTCTAAAAACCTGTTGCTTAGGAGTAATTTGTCATACTTGGATTAAAAGCTAAAGCTAGGAATAAAATTATTCAAGCATTAAATTCAATGTATAAATTATCTTGCAAAGACATTTTTAGGAAAATTAAGCAATGATGTTTATTTTAAAACAAATAAATTGCAATCTCTTAAAATTCATATCAACTATTCTAACAAGAAAAATAGTAGTAAAATTTAAAAGGTTGATTTTTACTAAAAGTTCCCTGATCAATAAGCCTTTATTACAAAACTTAAATTTCAAAATCAATTTGTTATTTTTCCCTAATTGTTGTAAGAACATTACCATGACAAGAAAGGTAGTAATACTATAAGCCATGATTAAATCATGGCTTGAACTACTGCAGATATATATCTTTGGTCTTGAATTCATGCATGACCCAGTATAGATTTGACATTAAAAAAGAAGTTTGAACTATTTTCCCAAATCAAACACAAATATAGTTTTGTAAAGTTAAAATACATTAAAAACTACTTAATGCCCACAATATCAAGAGAACCAAAACACTTGAGCAAGTACTGTAATCAGCATAAGAAGTTTTATTTCCAAAGGCTGAAATGCATAACTGTTTTCAATTTACAATAACATAGTAACTTCATGTTCCTATATGTTATGAGTAAACATTCCCATTTCTCTTATTTAATGTTCAATAGTTTAATTTACCTGAACAAAATGGCATTATATTTTGTATAAATTCTAATTTTGAAAAACAAATAACATGCTAGCATAAAAAGTTTATCTAAGAAAAAAGAATGCCTTGTTTAAATTTAAATAATTATGATTGGAAGATGGCTACGAGCTGGCTCAAGTTCACAACTTTCCTATGAAATGACCCCAAAGGCGAGCCGGATAATTTTCATGGGTATTTAATTTGTATTGTTCCAGGAAGAGTGCTCCTTATTCTGACCTGCATCATATGCTTGTCTGTGGAAGACTGGTCAGTGGGCTGAGATATTTACTACCCAAGTCTAACTTACATGTTCTGTCTGTAGCCAGGAGAAGAAGTCAAGGAAAGAAGGTCAACAGTCATAGTGGAGCTACACAGAGGTGAGAGGGAGGAAGAGGAAATTCATGGGAGAGGTGAAAGTATTGGTACAAAAAAGGAAGAAGGAAAACCATGTTATGGACTAACCCACCACCACTACCATTGGCTATCATTATTTAACATTATTTGTTTGAGCTCTGAACTTTTAAAATTTGTGAAAAAAAAAGGCTGAGAACAGCCTACAATTCAGGCTTTATCAGTCCTTAGAGAAATGATTAATGTCTTGCTGATCAACATGGGACAGGAGTCAATGAAGAATGCAAAATGAGACAATAAGTACAGAAAAGTTTACCAAATTAACTAGGAGAAGAAGAATGCTTCTAACTATATCAGTTTAAATGTATGCAAATGAAAACAGGCTAAGCTTTTATCCTACAATCTTGTCTTCACTTCTACACACAGTATTATTTAAAATTTGCAGCATAAGATTTAATTTCAGTTCATTGAACATTTTGTCATCCATTTCTTTTACAATTTATTTAAATATGTTAGGTTTACTGGTACATTTTATGTATGCATAATGATCGCATTTCATCATAGGGAATTTGTACCTGAACATGATAAATCTTTATTTTTTTGCCATAGTGCTAAAGTACTAAGAATGATTTCATTTTTTAAGGAGACAAATCTGAACTTAGTAAGTTCTACTAGCAATTACAGTGAGTTTGGTACTCGGACTGAAAAATCAGTGTTCTTACAGAAAGTTTGCTAAATAATAGCATTTCTTGTCTTGGTATTCTGTATTTGTCAGTGAAAACTGATTTTCAATGTTCTATTTCAATGTTCTTGAATCTACTTCCTTTTTTACAGTGTTCAGTAGCTCTTTAGAAGTCCCAGCCTTGAAAAGAGCTGTGTAGATCTCAATTTTCAACTATATTACAGATCCAGAAAGAGAGAGAAATAGAAAATCAACTTGATTCAGAGTTCCAGTTCCAGTTTTATTATTAATCTAGGAATTTCATTTATGTCACCAGTTTCTCTAGGTTTTTGGTATTTTTTAAACAATACTTAAAACAATAATATGATTTTGCAATTCTATATTATGTACCTTTTTTGAGTAGTATAAAAATATTTTTTTCTTCTAGTAACTGGTGTTTTAACCTTGAGCAAAGCATTTTCCTTCTTTGGAGAGTAAAATGAAGATTTTAGACATTCTCTATGATTCTCTGCTTATACATTAGCATGTTATTATAGCGGTCAAAATAAACAGATAACAGATGTGAAACTTCTCTAAAAATCATAATATGTTTCATAACTTTTGTTACAATACCAGAGGATTGGGGAAACTTATAATCATCATTTTAACCTTATCAAAGTCCATTGGCAAGTAAGCAGGTGTCACAGCAACTCTCCTGATGGAAATAGGTAAAGGAGTCACTTGTGTTGGGCAGGCTTGCAACTGCATGTTTTAAATAATATCAAACCAGGACTGCAGGTCCCCCTCCTTCACCTTTGGACCTACCTATTTAGCATTAGTAGATTTTACTTGCCCGAAAGAGTTGTCCTTTAATGAGTCCACTCTTTTACACATAAATTAAATGGAACTAGTTCAAACTAGTTGCTTATGGTCTGGCCAATTATCTTTTTTCAATTTTAAAGGCTGGTTTGAAAACACTTGGAAGGAAAGAAAAAGGGTTACTAGCATTAGAAATAAGATGAGAAACAATATTTACATTTGTATGCAGCCACAGAAATAGAAGAATTTATCACTCATTGAGAGCAGCTTCTTTCTGACAGGTAATGATGGCTAATGAGACTGACATTTACACTGCTCAATGCAAAACTATTTTTCTAAACATGATGTATAATTAAAACAACTTACACACAAATCATAGACACAAAAAGCATCAAATTAACAAGACTTCAGAAATGAATAATGTCCTCCAACGGATTTTATTCAGTCCTTTTATGTCCCATCAGTAGTTTTAAGGCTATACTAGGTTTTCCTCTCCATTCTTCAGGGTGAGGATAAACTAGTTCACACTGATAATCAATTCTTTTCAATTTGGAAGGAAAGAAGGAAGAAGGAAACCATACATTCTGAGCAAAAGCTTTTTGAAAATGTATGTTACATTTCATAGCATATAGGTAATGAATGTATTTATGTTTTTTCTTCTCTTGTTTTCTTCATAGGTTGAATGTTTGTCATTACATAGCATTCTCTTTGTTTCTATTAAAAGTTGTATTTATGTGCATAAGTATGCTTTCTTTCTTTTATACTAGCAACAGAAAAAAATAATGCTAGGGCAATGATGGACTTTTATATATAGTAATGGGTAAAAGCCTAATCCATCTGTATAGAATTTAAATACCAACTGTGATTATGCAGGTAAATATAGAATTATTAATTTTTATTTTGTTTTGATAATATAAAATTTTCTTATTTTTAAAGTTTAACAAAATCTAAAACAGACACTGATACAGAATAACATGCTGAGAAAATAAAACCACATCATAATTTACCTTGTTGAACATTTTGAGAGCATTCTAGTCCAAATAGTGGTTGGGTTTTAAATGCCTTTTTTATTCCTGCCTCACTAGATTCACAGAGGCTTCCCCTGCTCAGGACTCACCCACAAGCTGTGATCATAGCTATTGAGGTAAAATACAACTTAATGCTTGTAGTGTTTAGTATTTCACTGACTTTGAGCCCTAAAACTGGTAGTTCGATCATCTATTCAGAGGATAAACAATATGCAATGTAGCATCTATGAGGAGGTCTCCCTCTGAAGGTAGCCATTGTCAATTCCCTATCATCTTGTTTTGAAGTCTTGTATAATTTTCATTGTTTTGTTGTGTTGAGTTTTATTCTGTTTTGTTATATTTGATTGTATGGGCAGCTATTTCAATGATAAGATATATTATGGTAGGATTTTGGATTTACTATTGTCTTGTTTTGAAGTTCTGTATTGCATTCATTGTTTTGTTTTGATTAGTCCTGTTTCTGTTTTGTTTGATTTTACTGTGTCTGAATGTATCAGCAGCTATTTTGGAGACAATGAGAGACATTATGATAATCATTGTTGATTTCCTATTATCTTATTTTGAAATCCTGTGTCACTTATACTGTTTTGTTTTGATTGGCTTTATTCTGTTTTATTTATTTTTTTAAAAATTTTTGTTTAAAGAAAGACTTACAGAAAATAGGTAGAAATAATACATACATTCAGAGAAAAAATAAACAGTAAGAAATCACTAGTAAATGTTTACATATTGTCATTTTACAAATGTTCAAGGTACAAGAATGGAACATGTAAAATGGGAATTCAAACAGGGAGACTGCAAACAATTCTGTTCAACTGTCCAACAAAAACTTAATAACATGGTTATCAATCTTATACACTTAAACATACATGCAGTTATCCATATCTTCATTTATATTTAGATTAAACAAACTAAAGCAGGTTAAAATCATTCTGAACAAAGAATAATAGTATTGCGGGATTTCACATCATGGCACTCCGTGATCAGCACTGGGTACTGTAGTATCTTTTTTTAAAATTTAATTTAACAAAAGACTAAACAAAACAGAAAATGGTAGAAATAATACATAACTTCAAAGAAAAAAATAAACTGTAAGAAATCACTAGTTGATGATTACAGATTGTCTTCTTACAAATGAGTTACTCAAGGTACTAAAGTGGAGCTTATAAAGTGGGG